CCAGGGAGATGCTGAGCCCTGCAACGGAATAAAATGGGCTCCTTCCGTTATTCCTCAATTGTATTTTTCTGGCTTTATACCCTGCGTGCCGTGATCCGGTCTTAAATACATCGGGTAATAACCAGGTCGGGATGTCGGGGTGCTTCTCCGATGCCCGGCGAGGTGCTGCTTAGCCCGAGGGTCTCTCCCTATATATACCTCTTTATGTATTTATTTTCTTCTCGCTCACGGATCATTCCCACCCTTTTCTCACCCAGCTGCTGGAATAATCCCGTGTCCCTGTATTTGACACCTCGAAACCTTGGGAAGCTTTGTCAGGATCCGCGTTTGGTTGGTTGTTTTTTTTTTTTTAAGGGAAACTTACTTAAACCGGTCTTCCTCCCCCCCAAAAACTGATGCTCGAGGGATGCGATTAAAGGAGTTTGTAGAGGGGAGTAAATAGGAGGAGGGAATCTTGAGCATCCTCCAAGTCACTCAGTCCCGGAGCCCTTGCTCCATGGGTAATTTTTTGGGAGCCATCACCAAATCCATAGGATCACAGAATCAACGGGATGCTCAGAGAGTCCCTGCCTGGTCATTATAATTATATCTGGGAATAAAACCCCCTCATCGCTCCGGAATCGCTCTCGATATCCGCCTGGACAAACTGCGATGGAGGAACATCCGATGTGGATCGAGGATCGTCGGAGACGATGCCGGAGTCACGGGAGGTGAAACAAAATTCATTAGCGAGACCTTGACTGAGGGCGACCGATCCGTCGGTGTTGGTAAAGGAGCTCTGGGGACCACGGAGCATCCCTCATCCCGAGACGCTCCCGCCCTTCCTCCTCTTCCGAAAGCTGGGAGCTGGCAAAGCAGGAATGTGGGGGGGTTTGGAGTTGTTTTGGGGTTTTTTTTGCAGCACAGCAGCGTTAATTCCTCCTGATGATCTGGGCTCATTAATCAACCTTGGATGAGCTTCGAGCCGGCAGGTTTTCCCAATCGGATCTTGAAGCCCCGTGGCTGGACCGGCTCCGTCTCGAGGTTCTTTGTGTCCGTGATCACGCGAGTCCCATCTTTCTCCTGAACCCCTCCTTGCTCCCAAAGGCAATTCCAGCAACAGCTGACATGGGAAAAAAAAAAAAGAATATTTTTAGTTGAGCTCCTTTTGGTGTGGTTTAATAACGGGTTGCATGGCCCCTTCCTCGCAATATTTGAGCCAAGTTTTTTCTTTCCTCCTCCTAAATCCCCTCCTTGGGGCTTTTTCTCCATTTAAAAACTGAACAAAACCTGCAAACAGTTTCTTTTCATTCCCCGCCTCCCCGACACTGATTCTTCCCACCATCGCCGATAGGTTTATTATGATTTTTTTTCCCTCCCCTGGCTGTGTCTTTGGTTCAGGAGGTGAGGAAGGAAGAGGAGAGGCTTTCCCTGTGGGATGAGTCTGGGATGAGCATCCCTGCCGGAGGGAGGACGCCGGCTCTTTGTCCCCTTTCTCCTTAAACCTTCGCTTAAGCCAGACCCAAACCTCAGGGCCAGAAATCCTCACCCGACCGCAGAGCACAATCCAAGGCCAAGGTGAGGGTCTCTCCCGTTTTCCCTCGCAGAAGCTCCGGGGAATTCTCCAGGCACGCAGCCCCTGCGCTCCGTGCTGGGTCTCGGGGCGGGCTTCTGAGCTGCCGAGCTCACCTTTGCACCCTGGATATTTTCAAAAGTGGCTTTTTTTTAATTTAAAAAAAAAAGGGTAATTTGAGGTACTAAATAAATTAAACTGACCTTTGCATTGCTCGGGGCCAGCTGCCACTGCTCCAATGGAGGAGGAAGAGGATGCCCGCGTGGCCAAGGGAGCTTCTGCCGTGGAGAAATGAAATGAAAACTTCATTTTTCTGGCTGCTTCATCCCCTGCGGCGTCTCCCCGAGCTCCTCGCCGCTCCCCGTCCTCGGTCCCGGCCGTCCCTTGAGGCAGCACCCTGGGGTGGGTGCCCACCTCGCCGCCTTTGCCTTCTTTTCCCCCAGCTCTGGGGTGGTTTTGACCGTAAGCACCTGAGGGAAAGGGATTTTTAGAGGATATTTGGAAGGTTTGCTTTGGAGGGAACGGAGAAACAGCGGAGATTTTGGTGTTTTCCTCCTCCGCTTTTTCCCTGGGATTGCGTGCGGGATTGGCATCGTTAAATCAGCTCCTTAATTGGGCTGACGCTTCCGCTGGTTCAACAGCTGCTTTTCCCTCCCGCCTCCCCCCTTTAGCAACAGGGTTCAGCAATACGCCGACAAAAAAAATACCCCCAAAAGCCGTATTTAAACCCAAGCCATGGTATCCGTGGGCCGAGAGATTGCACCTTGCTCGGGGGCTTCACCACGGCCCCGGTGCCGCTGCGGCTTTGGCATCGGCGCAGCTTTTTTTGGGGAGGGGAAAAGAAGGGCACTGGTGGGGGTTTGGGTTTTTTTGGCTTGAAAGATGCTGGAGGCGATGCGGAGCCCAGCCCTGAGTTTTATCCGGGTGCTGGCAGTGCCTCCTGCCCATTTGCCCCCCGAAAACCCTCTGATCCCCCTCCCTGAGGGTGTCCCGGGGTTCCCGTTGGCCAACGTGCCGGTTGTTCCATTGCCGTGAGAACGACGGTTGGAGCAGAGGAAACACAAAGCGGAGAGGAGGTGGCCAACGGGGTGGGTGCTGGGCACCCTGGGGAGGGTACGGGGCGTCCTGGGAGGGCTCCCGGCTCCAGCCTGGCCCTGGGGACGGGGACGAGGGGTGCCCTGGGCTCGGTTCAAAAGCAGAAGTGGTTGGTGTTGCGGTGATCCGAAAGGACGCGGGGCGATGCTCGCCAAGCCTCACCAGCTCCCAAAAATTCCTCACCCAAGCCGGTGCCGAACATTTCCCGGCTTTCCATGGGGAAGCCGCCTTTTTTTTGGAGTGTGTTGGCATTGACGAGGCATTAATGACTCTCAGAGCAGAATCCTACGAGGGCTTATTCCCTTCCTACATCTTGGGTGGAGCCGCTGATCCGGCGTTGGTGATGAACCGGTAACCCCCGGCGCATCCCGACGTCGTTTTAAGCTTTAGGTATTTTTTAACGAGGGAGTTAACGGGACCGCCGAGCCACCAGCAAAGGTTATTTCACAGGTGAAGCGTGCGGTGCTCGGCCGTGCCGGGGCGGTGCGAGTTCCTTCCTTTATAAAACTGGCGTCTCCTTTTGGTTTCGGTTAATTCGGTTACACGTTGGTTTAGAATGAAAGAGTTTGGTTGGGAGGAAGCTGCAGCCGTCGCCCTGCCCAACCACCTGATCCCTCCACGACGACCCAAAAATGAAAGGATATCATTAAATAATATTAAATAACCGCGCACGGCTCTCTCCTGCAGACCAGGCGCGGGGAGGATGGGCTCGCCTCCGAGAACCGCAGTAACGCGTCGGCGCTCGGAGGCTTTATCTGGAGTGGGGAGAGGCTGCTCTTAAGAGCCAGGAAAACCTTTCCTGGTTATCCCGAATGGTGCTGGCTTATCCAAAATGCCGTTACAGCTTCTTGTCTTCTCCGCAGGGATGCGGTGAGCCTGCCAACAGCTCCGGGGGCCGGCGCCGAAGAAGTGGTGGCAAAGCACCCCCCCTTCCTTGCCATCCGCCAGCTCTCCATGCGAACCACGGCCAAATGGACGCGATCGCCAGCACCGGCCTCAAGAGGAAGTTTGAGGATGCGGACGTGGGCTCGCCGGGCTCTAACTCGGACGACGAGATCTCCAACAGCGACAGCGCCGATAGCTGCGACAGCATCAACCCCTCCAGCTCCACCGGTTTCATACGTGAGTGGTCGGGGACGATCCCCGTCCGTGTTCCCAGTCTCTGGGTGCCTCTGCCGTCGAGCACGAGGTCCCTGGATGTGGGGCTGGCTCCACTTTTCCCCTCTTCATCCCTTGTAACCCGTTTGGGATGATGAGCAGAGACCTGTTTGCCAGTCCCATGAGTTCAGGTCGTGCCAAACCCCGAGGAATTTCAAATATTAGACCCCAAAAATGAGTTGGCCGAGGTCCACCCTGCACATTTTCTATTCCTCCTCCCAGCATTTGCCCCTCCTGAAATATCTCGGTGGCTGAACGGGGTGTAGGGGTACGGGGATTAACGGGGTTGGCGTAAGTGGCATTGGAGGGACGAGCACAGCCCGTGCGTCACCCAAACCCAGCTCAGGGCCACCAACACGAGCCTGACCCACTCCTGGAAACAAAATCCACTTTCCAGGGGGGTGGGAGGTCTTTGTGTGACATCCAAGGGGTTTTGTTTTGGGGTTTTGTTTTTTTTTTTCCCTTAACAACCCCTTTCTGCCTTCCCCCACCGCAGCCACCTCCATCCTGAAGCGACAGAAGCAGCTTCGCAGGAAAAATGTCCGCTTCGACCAAGTGACCGTCTACTACTTCGCCCGACGCCAGGGCTTTACCAGCGTCCCCAGCCAAGGCGGGAGCTCCCTGGGCATGGCCCAACGCCACAACTCCGTCCGTCGTTACACGCTCTGCGAGTTCGCCCAGGAGCAGGAGGTGAATCACCGGGAGATCTTACGGGAGCACCTCAAAGAAGAGAAACTCCACGCTAAGAAAATGAAGGTATTGCCGGGGAAGCAGGGTTGTCGCTGGTGAAATCTGGGCGATGCCGCAGCTGGGAAATGCCTCGCTGAGCTTTGGTGGAGCTCGAGCGTAAGCCAGGTCGGAGGAGAGAGATCCAGGCTGCCAGTTCGCATCGGCTGGGGATGGATTTAGTGCCGCTAAACTTTTCCTTGTTATTTCTTTTTTTTTGCGTCAATGCTGTGCCCGCACACAGGGCCAGCCGGGCAGCGTCAACCTCTGCCAGGTTTGGAGCTGTCTGCCAAACCTCACCAGGTCCCTGCGGTAGAAATTCCAGTCTGGGAGGAGGCAGCCAGGCTACGTCGTCAGGGAAAGATCGGGATCTCGGGGAAAGATCGGGATCTCGGGTGGCTCTGCCTGTTTTCCAACCCATCCCGGGACTGGGTTTGTGCCCCGGGGTGTTGCCGGAGGCTGGGCTCTGCTCAGCGGGGTGCTCTGCAGAGCCTGTGATGGAGCTCCTGCTGCTTTGGGCAAAGGGACGCAAATCCAGCCGGCCTCCTCTTTATTTTCTTTATTTTTTAATTTCTTTTTTTGAACGTAGGCTTTTCCACCGGCTCCTCAGGAGGCCACGGACCTCTCCGTGATGCCTTTCAGGGGGCTGGGGACCCTCGTGTATACTCAGTGCCAAGACCTGGGGGCATTTGAGTGTGTGGGGAGGAAGAGAGTTTGCAGGACCAGAGCAGGGAGGTTGCAGGATCCGGCTCTGGCCCCTCCATTGCTTTTAAACCTCATTTTCCCTGGAGCGGGGGATGCTCTGCCGCTCCGCTGCCGCCACCGCTCTCCCAGGACTCCGGTATTTTAAGCAGCAGCGACCTCCTTTTATCTCGATATTTGCAGACTGCCGTAGCAGAGGGAAGATGGAAGAGGGATTCTCTGCTCTGGCTTTTTTTCTTATTTAATTTTTTTCCCCTCCTTTCTGTTACAAACTGCCGTGAGCTCACCCGCAGTGTGGCTGGGGGGGAAATCACACCAGGACGGTTCTGTGCCGGGGGCTCAGCTCACCGGGCTGGACCCTGCTGGGTGCTGGGGGGCGAGGGAAGGCGATGGGTGGTCGGTAGGGGAGCAGAAGCCGGACGGAGGGACCTACATCCTCCATCCCGCCTCATCGCCGGGGTTCGGCGTCTCCCTGGGGTTGGGCTTTGACTCTGCCCCACCGTCCCGCAGCTCACCAAGAACGGCACAGTGGAGTCGGAGGAAGCGGACGGGCTGACGCTGGAGGACGTCTCCGACGATGACATCGACGTGGAGAACGTAGAAGTGGACGACTATTTCTTCCTGCAGCCGCTGCCTACCAAACGCCGCCGAGCTTTGCTGCGAGCCTCC